TAAGAAACTACATCTTATAGATCAGTCAGCTAATCTAGACTTTGGCCAGCTCTCTTCTGCTCTTTCCAAGAGCTAGACTGAATATTCAGCTCAATATCTCTCCTGCTTTCAAGTCATTTTTCTCCATTATCAACCACCTATTCAGACAACTATTCCCAAGTTACACCACTTTACTCAACACATCATCTCCATTACATTACCAATGGGTAAGCAGAGAAACCTTAAACCTTAATCAAAACAAACAGTCACTAAATACTCAGAAACAATTCAGGAATTAGTCCTATTTTACAGTTCTGTGTGTTCTGTTTTCCAGTTTTCAGCTCTGCAATGATGAGACTGCATTTTATCTAAGGAAGAACACACCATTTTACTACACATTAGGTAACGTATACAATTCCAAATGGCAGTTCTTTCCTTCTGTTGCTGGAAAAAAGATGAATAATAATGTTAAAATTAGTTACAGCCAGTATGCGGTAGATGGACTGTTGCCATATGGTGGTTATGTAAATTAAGTGACAAAATAAGGATCTAGCATTTATAAGCAACTATTGCACACTTCAAAAACGCAGCCTGCCTGTGAAATACCTACGGGCTCCCACTTAAGGGAAAAGATTACATCAAAAGCTTGGATTTTTTTCTGAGACTCTGAACAATTATTTCAAGGAAAACATAAGCTTCTTATTTGCCTAACATATAAATAACATAAAGCCCAATAACCACTCCTGTGCATTACACAAAGTAGTCTTGTTGTCCAATTAAACATCTATTTTCATTTGGTAAAATTATGTCCCGACTCCACGTCGCTCTGTTGCCTGTCTGGAAAGGTGCCTGACTGTACTTCATGGATGACTTAAATGCCCAAACTTAGGACAAAGACAATTTCTCTAAAAGCTGTCAAAGCCACCCACTTTTGCTGACTAAACAGGGAATTTAGGACCATCTTTAGGAGTCTTGATACTCTATGTGCTTGTCATTGAAACATAAAATGGGGGGACAGCTGGGCAAGATACATCCTAAGCATCATAGCTCAGTCAACTTTAAATATGTTCAAGAGGCAGCATTTCAGACTCCATGTGTAGTAGCTATCATGGAGAAAAGTGATAATTTAAAGTATATAATTTTTTTTATTATTTCAGCAGGCAGGGCCACTAGGTATCAAACATATAATTGGATCAGAAATCACAAAACAGTTTCTTCTAAAGCTGGGTCACTATTTTAAAAAACTAGTTCTCATTTCTCAGGTTATAATGAAAGCATAGCTCCTGCTATGAAAAACAGAACTTGAAATTAATTATGGTATATAACAGCTTCATGAATTCTTGACATAAAGCACAGATTAAATTTTAGGCTCCTACTGTCCCACCACAAAAAAAACATTAGTCTTTTCTCTCTAAACATATGCACAGAGGCTAATTAACACAAAATCCTTTTTCCTTACTGAAAAAGGAGTCTTCAGGCTTTATTAGAAAAACAGGAAAGCAATTAACTAAAGATTAAAGGAGCTCCATCTGCATGAAGCATGATAGAAATTGCCAAAAGGAGCAGGAGACAGGTAACAGAGGATATAACAAAAGGGAGGTGGGGGGAGAAAGAGAGAATGAGCAACAGAAAGTTAATATTAAAATCACAACTGGAGATCTTTTTCAGTAACCTGCTGGAAGTCATCCAGAGGGGATAACTGTAATTATTTTTGCACATATATTTTTGCTTAGGCAAAAGTCTATGGACTCTGTTCAGGTCAGATTATCTGATCATAATGGTCCTTTTCCACCCTCATAAATCTGAATTACACATGTTTGAAGACAAAAGTGAATACTAAGCAAAAAATCAAGGAAAGGCTTAAATCTAAGTTGAACTAAAACCCTTATGTTATTATCACCATAGCAAAAGGCATATGCAAAAGGCACTAACTTTATTCTTGACATCTCTAGCCAAGTATTTGTCCCTCTATCAGTCTTCACAGGAAGTGCTGTCTCATAGGAAGTAGCTGCTTGGCATCTTTCTGGAAAAAGACTACATGACAACTCTGCCAAAACTATCATTCTCTTTGACTCTCCTATCTTAGGGTAACTCTGGGTTGGTAACATATGAGCTCCTCATACAGATTTCTAGCACTGGAACTTTATTTAAAAACCATAAAAGTCACGCAGTTCTGACTGAGTGTATCTAACAAGCTATATTCCAGCACAATCTGATGGAGGTGGAAGCCTCAATTTATTCATACAACCAGGCCTTTTGCCCTATGGCAAATTCTAATAGATCTTAACTGGCTTAGTCCTGTCCACACAAAAGTTGGCATGTATCTGAAGTCTTCCCCTGCAGCACTTACTACAGGATCAGGAAGGGTCAAAAAGGGAGGTATGAACCTATTAGAAGGTCAGTAAGTCTCGGGGTCCCGCGTTCCTTCAACATGTACTGCTGGATTTGTCAAAGGTCCTGTCATGAGCACTGACATTACATTACATATTAGATCTACTTAAAAAGTCCATTGTGACAGAAAGATGCAAATGTGAACCACACCACAAGCATGTCATACAGCTCCTACAACACCACGGATGGATTCACTGCCTGTAGCTCCATGACAGACCACAACCAAAACCAGGTGCTGCTGTGCACCTCACCATGGCTCACACGCTCTCAGTGACCAGAGGGAAAGCTGACAACACAGAGCTTCCCAGGGGTCATCAAAACATAAGAGTTCCTTAAGGATAGTGACTCATCTAGTGGATCAGCTGGCAATGAAAACATGACAGTCAATTTGGCAGGTGCAGCATCCTGTTAGTTCATCTCCGCTGCAGACAAAAATAGTCTGTATGTTGGATGAACAGCTTTCTCCCTAATTCTATCTGGCCATCGCTGATATTACAACTAATATCACCAGAATATCACAACAATAGCCCTAAAAGAAGAGCCTAGTCCCATATAAACTCTCTTTTCTCTTCAGACAAAACAGAATTTAATGGGATAGTGTCATCTTTGTAAAAAATTTCAAGGAATCACCTATCTATAAGATAGATAGTATACTTAACTTCTGTTTTCAGCTAAAACAGAAAGATATGCAAATCCCACGACAACAGAAAGGACTGAAATCTCATTGTGGTACTGGTAGCATTTCACTCACCTTAAGAATACATTAACTTCAGTAAGAAAACAATAAATTAATCTATCATTGATGCAATTCAAACATCCTCCTATGCTGTCAGATGTCTGTTAGAGACATCTGGTTGTTAGGTGTATGCTGCAATTGCAACAGCTGTACAGGGACAAAGAAGGGATGGATATGAGGATTCAATGATCCTCCATCTAGAATTCTTCAGAGCCTGGAGCATACTCGTTAAGGAGCTGAAGCTTGAGCTACTTGCACACCTCCAAGCTTATAATGAGCAATAGATATAACCTGGTTGAAAGGGGCTGTATGCAAGCAGAGATAAACAAAAGGCCAAAAGAGGAAAGGCACTCCTGGGAATAGCAAATAACACATTTTTTCTTTTTCTCAGAAAAGGTCACTGTGTGAAGGAAGCTGGCTAAGATATTGTATTAGTTGCAGGCAGAGAAGAGCTGGGGTACAGCAGGAACACCCCAGGAAGCAGCACAGGAGAAGCTGGACCCAAAGTGATCATGACACCAGTGAGCTAGGCAGCCTCTTCACTGACTCAATGCACTCTCACAGTAACCAGGTAGTGTTATGTTTTGGTGTGTAATTTAGGCATTCAAGACTTCTGGGTGTTCAGAATTGCAGATATAACCACTGCAGAGAGCTCATTTGTAGCAAATTCATCATTTAACTTAAACGTTAAAATGTGCATGCTGTGAATCCAATAAATCTGACACAAAGGGCTACAGAATGCTTGCACATATAAATGGGTCCACAGGCAACAGATTGGCACCTACACATTAAATCATGTATGTCCTGAAGAGGTCTGATTTGACTGTCTACAACCAGAATAATCAAGCTCACTGCAGATGTTTTAATTAGTATACATATACATTTCTTTACAAGCAGAATTAGAAGCTGTGAAAAAGAGGGGCTCTGATGTGGCATGACTGGTTTTAGCCATCATTCAAAACAGAACAGTCACTATACTGTCTACTGACCTGCATATGCTTCATTATAGCTACTAACATAGTATTGTATTCCCTGCAGTCACTGCTCAGAATATGAGATACTGAGACATTTTCCACTTTGAAGAAGAAAAAACAAACAAACATGTAACAGTAACAACAACAACCACCTCAAGACAAAATTACACACCAAAACCACACAAATGCTCATTTGGAAAACATACGAACTGCTTTTCAATTAATATTATTCTCTTTCTTTTGGCTGTGTTAACTTGAAATTAGGTGGTTGTCTATACCAAAACTATAAAAGAGATGGTATCTATCTGGAGACATGACCCATGTTTCTCCTTTCCAAACAATAAGTCTGGGAATAGAATTGGATTTGAGGTCTGCAAACAACGTGTTAATAAATGCTAAATGATGTAACAGTGCAGAAATTTCTATTTACCATATGCCTTCCACCATTCCCAAGACAAAGTTTCTGCATTTTAAAAGATGGAGGTAATCTTGTGTTCAGCATTTCATTTCTTAAATATAAAGATAAGTTAAATGAAGCTTAGAGGAGGTGAAAGACATTAGAAAAATACAAATCCTCTCTTGATACTCAGCAAGAGACTAAATAACAAAAAAGGAGTTTAAGTGCTATTGAGCTCTATAGGTTGTGCATCTAATTTTGAGAGAGCACCTTGGTAGATGACACCTAACCCCTCTAGCATCAAGCCCAGCTATTCCACAGCCTTGGGGACAAAGAGGCAGTGCAATCAAGCGAACCGTTAAGTCTTCGTCCTTACAAACATCGTTCAAGAATTTCAAATGTCAGGCCCTGCTCACAGATACCGATGACACTCCCGTGCGAAAGGCCCAGGGCCGGCTCCCACAGCACCCAGCCCCGGGCCGGGCCGGGCCTCGCGCTCCCTGCTGCCACCTGGCGGCGCCGGCCGGCCGGGCACGCCGGGGCCCGCTCGGCGGGCGGGCACGGCCGAGGGGACGTCGGAAAGGCCCTTCCTGAAACAGCTGAAACCCCTGGTTTGCATTCCATTCCGAAAGCCAGAGCAGCAGCAGCTCAGGGTGACTGCCCACCTCGCCCCTTCCATCCCAGAAAAGGACCGAGGTGTGCTCCAGGCGTTGTTGGGCTTCCTTGGCACTGACTCCCCACCGATATTCGGGCTCCTTTTCTCAAAAGCCAGTGCAAACCTGTAAAACCTTATTCCTCACCAACCCTGAGCTGCTCCCACAGGAAGATTTTCTTTCTGCTCCTCTGCTTGCATTCACCACTCCAAAAATGAGATTACTTCCAGGCTCAGGATCTTCTGACTCCTCTTCCAAAATCTCCCTGGTCCAGGGAAGAGGGCATTATGCATTATGGCAGTGTACACTTACAGCCTAATAACTATAGCCCTACTGCCTCTCCTGTCCACACACAAAACACTTGCCCAAAGCCTTTCACTCGTTATACAAAGGCAAAGACAATAATTGTTTTTTAAGACAGTGAATGCTGTAGAATTACCCTGTCCCTCTCACATGCACCTAGTATAAGGCAGTTCAAAACAAAAGCACCAGCCTCAAGTGCTTTCACGAGTCTTGCTATAGTTACCTTGTTACTCTTATTAATTTTATTTATTGATTCATTATTTTTTGCTCCAAAGTTAGAAAGTGTAGCTACAAAGGCAGCAAGCCCCTTCGGAGCAGAGAAACCAGGGTTTGGTAATGATTTGAATTACATGTTACCTTCAACTTCTCCAAACAACAGTTTAATAACTAAGGAGAAGACAATGCAATAGCACCAAACTGAAAATGAAAAAGTAGAAGGAAAAAAAAAAAAAGAAACAATACAAGAGAAAAATAAACACTTCACTTCTAATTCAGGCACACAGAAATAGTGAGAAAATAGAGCTGGACAGGGCCTTGAAGTTCTTGAGCCATTTATCACGTGCCTAGTGCAGGGAGAGAAATATTACTTCTGCCAGTTGTTTCTCTAATCTATTTTTAAAGGCATAAATATATGAGGGTCCACATTGTTCCTGCCTGCATCTCTTCTTGTCTTTTTTAAAATCACCCTCTAGAAGACTCCATAACCAAAATCTGAATGACCAAATCAGTGGTGTTTTGATCACTTCATCCTCCATAAAAAAAGAAAACAAACACAAAAACACTGACCCAACACTAAGTGCTAAGTGTTTTTAAAGCAGCTTTCAAGACAGAAACAAATAATTCTACTTCAAAGATTAGGGGTTTAAAGAAGCTAACATGATAAGCACATAGATAATTCAGGATAATTTAACCACAGCCAAACAGTAAAATAAAAAAAAAAAATCAAACTGGGAACTACTCAGGTGAGTCATGGAAACAGACAGCAAGCACCTTCCACAAGGGAAGAGACTTTTAATGAAAGAATAAGATAATTGTCTTATAGCTGTGCTAATGTAGCTATCAAAGTGACATAGTTTTATCCTTTCCTTCTTTAACAGAACCTTATTAACATATTAAGCCTTACCCCTCCAAAAATGTTTTAAAATGTATTAGGAATTCTACTACTTTTGGATTATATTGCCCTGTGTTATTCTGGTGTAGACAAACAATCTACTAAAGTGAGAAAATTAGCTCTAAGATACAAAAGCATTTTGTTCTGCTTTTCAAGATACAGAAGTGTCTTAGTCTGTTACCATTCTTGTTTTGAAGCCAAGAATGGTAATAGTTTGCTGGCCATTTCCAATCGTTGCGGGTCAGTCCACAGCTGTGCAGGCACTCAGTTTCAAGGGCATCCTCCACACTTCTCAGTACGTTTCTCCAAGACAAAATTTCTTTCTGAAAGTCAAAGTCAAAACACAACCGAGTACCTGACTCTGCATTGCTGTGATCAGTTACATGCCTTAACTTTTACAGAGAGAAAACAAGGAAAGCAAAACATCCTACCACTGCACCCAGATAAGGTAATTGTAAACTGAAAGACAGTTTGCTGAAAATAACTCTTCCAAGTGGAGTATCTCCAGTATCACCTTGAAAAGCAGAAAAGCAAATTCTGGAGTTAAAATCATGAAATAATGATAATTAAGCAGTAACTCAGAATAGCAAATGCCAGATGAAGTACAATTTATGAGGTGTTTGCATGTTGTTATACTGCAAAAGCAATGACCTGTACAAACTGAATTGATTCCAGCCCGAGCTTCAGGACATTACTGACACTTAAGAAAACAGTTCCCTCCATCTCTTCAGTGTCAAACACCATTTTACAATGCCTAATTTGTTCACATATGCAAGTGATCCGTGAGGAAGAAAATGGCAATATTTATGTACAGAGATTTAATAAAAGAGACCAAAGTCACAATCTGTTCAGTTCTGAGGAGGTCAACAAAGTCACACACCTTGTTTTCCTTGCTTATACTAATAGGGACAAGTACTCTGAAACAGCACAGACACCCGATCCTAAGCCTTGTCAAACCAGGCACCACCTAATGCACTAACAGTTTGACACCATGCAGAGAAATGTCTCACTGAATTAGGAAAGCCATTACCACTTTTATACCTGAGACAAATTATTGATCTCCTTATCTGTCAATATCATGAATGTGTTTTTGATAGAAAATGCAGCTTTACATACTTAAAGGACGATGCATCTATCTTAGGCTTGTTCATTCTTAGGTAGTTATTTCTTCAAAGAGAGAGTAGCAGTTGAAATTTAGATGTATGCTGTGAAGGAAGCTGATTACAATTTACACATCCAATTCAGTCTAAGATTCACCCCATCTGCTTTGCACAAGACAGTAACTTCAAAAAATCCCTTTGTTTCCTGCAGAAAGTCACAAGCTGAGAACTGTAAAACCACAACATCCTGAAGAAGAAAACATCTGAGCAACAGAGTGAAAAAAATGTAAGTGCATGTACACGTAAGATCTGCTTCACACCAGACTGCACTTTTTAGTCTCTGCTCTGCCACCAAGCCCACTCAGCTCTTTCCAGCAACATCAACAGCTGTGGAAGATCATCAGAGCAGACTGTTTTGCCCCTAATAATGGAGCTGACTCTCAGGCTCAAAGCATATAAGTAATGTGAAAGAGCAAATCCAGCTCAGCCAAGAGCTGAACCAGCTAGCACTGGAAGGGCTTGTGCTGAGAACACAGACCAGGTACATTCAAGTTGCCTTAGATTGAAATGGCATCAAAACAAAAAATATATCAGTATTATCAGAGGCTGTGGATTATTGACACAGAGAACCTCAATCCTATCTATAACTGAGGCAAGATCACCATAAAATCTACTTCTGAAGAGTAATATTAGAGCAAGATGAAAAAGCACATTCTCCTCACCCATCCAGACTTTGAAACAACTATGGCAGTACTGTTCCTGGCAATGCAGTGAAACAATACATAGTTTCATCTGTTTTGCAGAAAAATGTATTTGGTCCATGTGCTATAAAAGGCTCAGGTGATCTTCATTTCCCAATAGATCTTCCAAAGTCAATGATATTGGTTTCTAATTTCAGACATTATTTCAAGTATACAACATTTCTATTAAGATTACCAGTATCTTGATAATACCCAAAGGGATGAATGAACCCAAGCCAATTTTTCAAATTACATTGCACCTTGTGTCTATGAAATTACTACTTTAAGACTGTAACTGATGGATACTGTAAAGCAAGCAACTTAAAAAAGGGAACTAAAGCTTCCTCTCTGATGTCCTTTTCAAGATGAGCAGAGACCCTTTATACCCAGCCAGCAGTCCCTCTCACAAGTCTCCTCATTAGTACAAACACCACAGCTTCTCCATTAATAAAATCATCGAGGGCCCATTCTTCTCCAAACAACACACTGCTCTACCTGTGGTTAACCAGCTCTTCTATTTCACTATTCAGCAAAAGCAAATTATGCAAAATACCTACACACAGTTCTTTCAGCCACCACTCAAAACTGACCTCATTTTCCAAGTACTTCAAGCACCTGAGCAGTTACACAAATCCTTCACATAGTAGATTTAAGTTCATCCCAAGAGAATCCAATCAAACACAAATGGTGGTAATGACCATCAACTATCTAAGCCAGATTTCTTTATTCTCCTACAAAACTGAGGAAACCAAGCACTACAAGGACTTCAAGCCTAACATTTCAGACATTTTAGACAGAAATCTAATATTTCAGATAGAAAAGGTTGTAAAACATAAGACACTGAATCACTAAAAATAAAGACCAAAAAAAAAAAAAAACAGCTGAGACAAAGAAAAGATGATTCTGACATATGCCAGCATATTAGACTTTAGCAAGCCTGATGCCACCATATCAGTGCAATTCCCTTGTTAGTAAATGAGAGCTCATGTCTCTGAAAGCTAGTCCCTCCAGCCTTAGCATTAGAAGACATGCATCACTTAACATTAAAAAAATAAAAAAAAAAGACAGACTTGGATACAGAATATTTAGATAATCCCAAGTCTTCTGTAAATTATCTCACACATTCACTCTAAATAAAAATCTCTTTCAACAAGACTCAACATTAATTCTGAAGGTCCACCAAAGAGGCCCAAACCAATGTGCCCCATAAATGATGCAAGACTGCATCTTAATTAAAAACTCATATCCAGTATGCTGGTGAGCAGAAAGTATACCTTTGATATAGGATTAACTTCCTCTTCACATATTTCAAGATGCAGATAACAAAATTACCCAGAACAGACAGCAGAAACCACAAGGATAAACTGAGAAATGAACAGTTATTCTATCCCTATGCTTGCATTTTAATTTCCCAATCTTTATCTGCAGGCACTCAGGAACATGACTTAAAATGCACTTACATTAAGAGCCTAATGTCTTCTTTTATAAAACAATAAACAATGGTTATGGCCGTTCCTTTTTATATCCAACCATGCAGCCATCAATGTTATTTCCAATGGAAAACCAGGTGATCCTATTTTCTTGTAAAAAAAAAAACCTCATCATAACCTATCTTCTTCAGTATTTTGCTCTAAAAGAGTAACAACAACAAGAGTTCCTCAGTTAAGGAAGAGATTCCTTTAAAAGGCGCAAAAGGCCAATATGAGCAGTGTTTGCCAAAAATACAGCAAGAGTTGACCACCAGTGTAAAGTGTTCACTCCACAAATGTCAAATTTTTAATTAAAAAAAAAAAACAAAACAACATTTATTACAACAGAATATTACAAAGAACTAGCTTCAATGATCAACAAATAAAACTTTACAAAATGCAAACAATGTAATTTCCGACTGTGGAGTCACATATATCCCAAGTTTACAAACACAACATCTTTTTGTTTATGCCCACTTAAAAATCATTTCCAGTCTGCTTTATTTTCCATCAAATACAGTACATTTATCCAAACAAAAGCATGTACATTCAACATAGAACATTTTGAGCAAAGCTACAATCTTAGTTCCCATTCACAGTATTTTTAGTGCAATGCACTAACAGGGCCAAATAGTTCTCTATCCATAAAAGCATTTTTACTCCTGATCTTGTGATCAACATTTAGATATATTTTATACAAAAAAAGTATATATGAACACGAGGTACCTCCCTAAGTAAGGGAGTGAACCGATATAAAAAACACGGTATTTCTTCTGATGTACAATACCTTTCAAATTGTAGCAATTTGACACAAATCACTAAACAAAATATTTTCTAAAAGGTAAAAAATAAAAATAAACAAAAAACCAACAAAAACCCCCAAACAACAAAAGGAAACCCCTGAAACAAAACCCACGATTGCATGAAACCTGCCAAGAACTTCATAATGGTAGGCATGCAACTGTTTTACTACAATCTTGATTAAAAAGTTTTTAAAAAAGGTATCTAAACATTTTCCAATTACACAAAGTCAAGTGTTACCCATAGTGGTCATTTACGATTTTGAGAGAAAATATATTTTGAGTTTCTCCCAAACTATCCTCCCTTTTTATTAATATTTATTGAAATAAGCTATCATTATAAGTGGTTGTGCACAGATTGTCTATAATACATCAGCAAATATTCACTACCTTCATATTAACATTAGTGTGTTGATCTTTCAAAAATAAACTGAAAAAATAAACTGCAACTATCATTAAAGTGCTTGTGTATAATTTTTTTTAAAAATTAAAGAATAGAGGAATGTGGATATTCTTGTAAACTTTCTAGATGTTTACAAAGTTTTCCTATCAACCACATATGGAAACAAAATGGAGGTCTCTGAAGCAACTTCAGCACAGTGAAATTCAGAATGTCCTTGAACTGGGAAATTAGTCAACATGAACAAACTGAATTTATGGCAAATACTAAAAATTAGTAGAATTCAGCCAATAAACACTACATTTCTTGCTCTTATACATTCATTTGTAATAAATTTAAAACAATATATAATACAACATTTACCAAAGTAGGGTATCACATCAAAGTTTGAGCTGTCCATCAATTAGCACTGCCAGGGAGGACCAGTATGCACGATGAGTTTCCTGAAGATTTCCTAAATGAGGAAAATCCACCTTCTTCCAAAGCTGCTGCTCATTAATTTGTCTCTTGTATACTCTTTTTCAATTTCAGAAGTTTGTTCTATACTGGGTCAAACTACAACTACATAGAGATAACTGCTAATTTAGAAGCATGTGCATTTCACTTCAACTACTTCAGTGTTTTGGGAAGTAGTACTGTCCTACAAGCAGTCAGAATGATTATTAGTATAGTAAGAAAAAAAAAACAGCTTATGAAAATATTCTCTCCTTATAGTACCATTATCAAGAATTAGCAGTTCCACCAACAAACTAGTCTTTTTCATTCAAATGAACTTCAAACTTTCCGAACATCACTTGAACCTATCTGAAGAGAAATGGGAATAAATTAATACTTTGATTTTACCCATATAATTCTGTTTTAAACTACACAACATAAATAATTTATAAGGTTAAATTTTTAATTCTTATTCAAAATGCAGAAGTCACTCCCCCTCTAGAATTCAGCATATTCAGGGTTCAACTCAGTTCATTTTTGAAGTTCTGCCTAATTCGGTCAGAATTTATTAGAAAGTCATGAAAGCACCACATCACAATTTCATATAACTAGGTGGTTATTCACTGTGAAAGTTGAACTCAAATCAAATCACCTCCCAGAAAATAGCGTTTCAGAGTTGAAACATAGAACAAGGCACATATAATTTGTTTTCTTTTTACCAAATATGCTAGAAAGATGATTCTGAATAAGGATGTTAAAAACTCCTAAAATTGTCACTACAATCTCTGTTCATCATATTTTTGTACAATCCCCAACCTTCAGCCATCAGTTGGTCAGTTTGAAATACAAAGTGACTGCACACAAATATTTTCGTTTTTAAAAGATCCTCTAAAAACAGGCCATGGCAAGGCCTATGAAAAACTGAGTAGCTACAAGTACAACCCCTCCAAGTGTAAAAAATTCCAAGAGCACCACATAAGCAAAAGTTTAGAAAATTCTAGGGCAGATTTCAATACATATCAAGGCTTAAAGAAAAAACTTCGATAAGATTTGAACAATTTAAAATACTAAATGACCACAAGTGTCCAAACCTGGGCTTATATAAATAACCATTAAAAGAATAGAATTCTAAATTTGATGATTTTAAAGGCATTTGCAGACACCTAACCCATAATGATTTTAAATCAAAGCAATTAAGCAACCCAATTACATTAAAAAACCTGTTCTATGCACTTTTGTTGACAGTGTGTTGGTAATACACATTAAAATAAAAATTTAAATCCACAAATGCTAATTCCAGTAAGTTCATAGAGATTTTTTTCTGTTATCAGCTTTTACTTTAGTACTTTTAGTACTTCTTCAAGTGGTCACAACAAAGTTAATTTAATGAGTTAAGTTATTCAATCCAAACAAAATTGTTACTTTTTAAAAATTACTATTTTAAAAATGTACTTATATTAGCCATATTACAACAGATGCCTTAAGACAGTTTAAAGAGTTGACTTAGTACAGTTTAATCTACATTCCATCTTTCTACAATGACAAATTTAGATTTTAACTCTTTTCCAAAATGCTAAAAAAAAAACAAATTTGACATTGACTTTTGCATTTAAGCCACTAAACCATAAAATCTATAGGAAAATATGTTTTCAGAAATAAATCAACAACAGCAAAGAGTAGTAGTAAAAAAGTAGTATTGTTGTTTGGGGTTTTTTTTTTTAATTAAAAAAAAAAAGAACAAAACACTTTTTCTTTTTCCTCACCAGACAACAGCTTTAGATCTTGTACTTCTGCCTTTGGTTTTACTTTCCTCAGGTGAATGAGATACGTTTGCTTTGTGGGTTTTCTTGTGATGTTCTAGAAAAGCTTTTCTGGCAAATGCTTTCCCACATTTACTGCATCGGTGCAGAGAAAAGTTTTTTGTTACTTTTACTTCAATGCCAACATCAGCTCCTTCATACTTTTTATTGGGAGAATTAGAGGTGACATCCTGTTTTGAACCAATATGTTTTGTTTCATCCTTCTGAGAGCCTCTTTTTGTCACCTTATTTAGAACAAGATCAATTGGCTTCTTTATTGCTCTTATTTCTAAACTCGCCGTTATTTTCCCAAGGTAGCGTGGCGACTTTTTATGAACCACAGTTATGTGTCTGATCACATCACGCTTGCGACGCGTTTCGTAAGAGCAGAGTGGACACCTGTAGTATTTAACATAAATATTATTTCCATCTGTGTGTAATTCAATGTGTTTTGTTAAATTCTGTTTAGACGTAAATTGGCGCTTACAGAGTTTACAGTAAAGCTGCTTGAAGTCAAAGCCAGCTGAAAGTTTTGGCTTCCTGGTTTTTTGCTGGCCACCTGCAGCAGATGCATTGGTTGATTTAGGGGTTGATTTAGTGGTTGATTTGCAGGTTGATTTAGTGCTTGATTTAGTGGTTGATTTAGAGGTTGATTTAGGGTTTTCAGGGTCCTGTCTAACCTTATTTTTCTGTGCTGACGGTGTGTTCTTTTTCTCATTTGAATGATTTGTTCCCTTTAATTCATTCTGTGGAGAAAGCACAATGGAAGGGGGTGAAGGTTCTACAGAAGCTGCTGGTTCAACTTTGATTTCTGTGCCATTGGTAGTACTGTTGGGTCCTTTCTCTCTTTTAGAGTTCTTTCCAGAAAGAATTATCTTGTGAACAATTTGCATATGCCTTTTCAGCATTATCTGTGAACTATATTTTCTCTTGCACAGAAGGCATTTGCATGCACTTAAATTGTATTCAGCCTTTGAAGACGACTTTTGTTTTCTGGTCTTAAAAGTTTTTTTAGCAGAAGCTGTATCCAAGAACAAAGGTTGCCCAGGCTTTGTAGCTATATCAGGAGTAATGGAATCCCTTCTTAATCCTCTATGAACTTCATCAAAATGCCTCCTTACATTGGCTTTTGTGGCAAATGATTTATAACACACAGGACAACTTCTACCTAATGTAACAAGAACATTCTTATTTCGTCCTTTTGCAGAGCACTGGTTTGGTTTCTTTTTTGTTTCTATATACTTCTTTAGTTCTTCCATCTTTTTTTTGTGTACTTTTCGAATGTGCCGGCGTACACTGCGTCTTGAATGAAATTCCTTCCTACAGAGGCAACAAATCAGCTGGTGGCCATAATCAGAATTATCCAGAGAGTCGGAGTCAGGATTTACCACAGGTGGCTGCTCTTCAGGAGTAGGTATCACCTTGTTGGTAACAGGATCAGCAGGAGGTAATTCTACAGTATCCCCAGCTGGGACTGGGGCTGGAGCTGAAACAGTCTTGGGTTGCTCAGTGCTGGGTTCCTGGATCTGTACTGGAGCTTGATCGGGGGTATGGCTACTTTCTGTGTTCTCAGCTGGGCTGTCAGTCCTTGACACATATTGAAATACAGCATTTTGATTAGTTTCTATAGGTTCTAATGTAATGATATATTCTTGCTTATCTACCCTTGGATAGATTGCTTCAAGAAGGTCATTTATGGCTTGACTCTGCTTATCTTTTGTATCTGGGAGGTCTGTGAAAAGAGGAAATGGTATTTTTTAATGATTTGGTAATTTCCAATTATTTCAATTTCAAAGTAGCTTTTAACCACTATGTTAATTCAGTTTACAAAATTCCACAAATCCTCTTTTGTACTCTCTGAACACTCAAAGGCTTTGAGTAATCATTGCAAGTTGCCTTTTTATTAAAAGCCAGCATTGGAAATAACTCTCCTGGCATGCTAATGTGAAAGCCACCTGAACTAAAAATTCGTATGGCTGGAATTAAGCTGGTCTTTAAAAAACTATATCAATTGCAAGAATAACATCATTCAACTGAGCTTGTTCTGCAGGTGTGCAACTAAGCCTGAAGTATCATTAAAAAACAATTTTCCTACTGTGGGATACAGGCACTCTCAATAAAGGAACCTAATTCTGGAAATAAGCTCTTCTCTGTAAATTCTGAACAATCCTTACCAAAGAATGAAACAGCTGTGTAACCTGAGCATTGCATGAGGTAGATACAAGTAGATAATATTTATAGGTCTCAGTAATATTCTCTTTTTAAAGGCCAAATTAGTTCAGTGCTCTAGTTCCCAGTGTGACACTCAAAGCATCTGCAATGGCAAAACTAGGAAGCTGGGGTCCTACAGCACAGAAGGTGAGGCCCTGAGATGACATAGCTCAAATTATTGTGGATAATTTTAAAGATGTGAGTCTTCGTAATAACTAATTAAAAACCCACAGTCAGAGTTATTCCTTCCATACCCAGCAATATGTGGAAAGTGTTAGTACAAAAAATAGGCTGTTTTGTTGCTCCAACCCGATTTTTTAACACTGAATTTTTAACAGCTTTTACTGTCAGTTTCAAATGAGCCTATCTACATAGCTTTTACCACGAGTAAAAAGTCCTTCCTATTTTATAGACCTTTTAAGACAACTTCATGATTATATTGAGTGTATGGATTTTTCACAATGGTTTGCTGAACTTTTATTCCTGCCTCTTGTTCACTATCTTTTATTTATTGAAAAAACTCCCACTTAGTTCAATAACTACACTCAATTTTATATAATGCACAAGTATATATACAGTTTTATTCAGAGTGTGTAGTATTATTCCTTTTATTTGCACCTCTCATAGTGAACAGTGGAAGTTATCTTATTTGTATGTTACTTGCACGTTATTTCATATTAATATATGGAAGTTAATCAGAAAATTAAATGAAGGCTAGAATGCCAGGAGCTCAACATTAAGTCTTTCCTCAGGGCAATCTTACTTTGCTTTGAAACTATTACATCTAAGGTCACATGCACTTCTAACTTTGCTTTGAAACTACGAGTCACCCCTTCTCACACAGAAGTTCTGTGACTCTCTAACTGGCCAAACAATCTCATTTAAGGAAGGTGACAGTACCGGCCTTTTCACCTTCTCCTTTCAGCTGACACCATGTGCAAAAAGAAACACCAAAGTATATCTCTGTTTGTTCCTAATTTTTGTAGTATTGAGGCAGGAAGGCATTACCCGGGAAAGTAAAATCCTCCTTGCACCCATACTGATCTAAAGAAGAGCTCAAGATAATTAGCTTTACAAACATTTTTGAATTCTGACACATTTCCAGATTAATCAATTTTACTCAGATTAACAAAAAGTCATCACTGGAATGAGACTGTAATAAATTTTTCTTTCCATTAAAAATATAGTCCTTAGCTTTTTCCTCATAATTTAAGTAACTTCTTTAATAATAAAGCTTATTTTCCACAACAACAATGTATGGCTAGGCACGATCACATAGGATATGTTAAAGCAGCATACAGTTAAGTGAAACGGGAAAAGAGACAGCATTATTCAAGCACAGATCCTTAAATAAAAGGGTAAACTTTTAGTCTGCATTTCATACTGACTAAAACCAAAAGACTGCATCCATGACACACGCACTGTATTCTCTCAGTACAAGAGAATATTAAGGATATTGACCTAGGGCACTTCACGGGAGTGGAATCACCCTGTCATAGCCACTGTCTTCTGTGAGATTAGCTTCCCAGTCCTTTGACATGCTTTTGGTATCTTTCACAGTAAAGGACAGATGGGAAAGAAAAAGGGTAAGAAGGAGTAAGAAGCGTTAAGAGTGACACTTAATTAAAAGGCTAGGTGTATAAACTAGCTATCTAATTAGGATATTGGCATGGCTCTTGGTTGTTAATTCATATAAAGTCATTGCTGTACCTCCTTCAATAACATAAAAGTGATCTACATACATTACTACAGAAATTTAGATCCACCTTGGTTTTTTGCATTTTGTTTCAGGTATGTTTGTGTAAATGGTAATGAAAGATAAATTTTTCAACTTCACATAGCTTTATTAAACATTTAAATAAGACATTAATAAGACTTACTATCATCCATCTGAAGACTTGGAGGACAATAAAACTTTTTATGAGTAATTAAATTTGGTAATCCTCTGAAGAGACTCCGGCACAATTTACACTCAAAAATGGTGTCCACATCTCTTAACAAGATATGTTTAAGTTGTTTCGTTCCTGTAATAAAATAAATATTACACTTATGGAAGGCTTTCTGTTCATCTCTTAATTCTCATCATCCCATGAAAGTGGAAACATTTTAGACCATGAATAATTACAACAGCATTTATCTTTTGTTAGTGCTACTTCATTTGTAATGGAAGTTTATGATACATGCTCCAAATTTCACTATGAACACAAGACTGGGATGAAAAAAACCCCTCAAGGATTACACATGTTACAGTTTACAGAGAAGGTGCAATGATTTACAATAAAAACTAACATCAGGAAAGCGTTCTTACTACAGTATTTGGTTGTTGCAATACAATTGCCCAATAGGAAAGAATAAGCACATAGAGCATTTAAAGAAGCCTGTAGTATTTTTTCTTTAGGGTTATCCTACAGTGCTAAGAAAACAAGACATATACAGCTATTTCACATAGAAATGGCACCTGGTAAGGCAAAAAACTAAAGGATTAAATAGACCAAAGAGAATAACTAACAGGTCAAGAAAGGTTACTACACTTAGATATCTAAGCCAAGTCTGAGATGATGACACTTAGGCGAGATAGTAGAAATGTAGGCATATTTTCAGCCTGAAGAAAGGAAAATACATACAACTTAAATCTGAAAGATCTCTATTAAAACAGAGAGTGTGATAAAATGTCAGCTTCCCAGACTATTATGTATTGTATACAAAGATAGTTAGATCTAGCATTGTTGAAATGTTCCCGCTCCTGTCATTTTTTCTACTCTTCAAACTTAGTCCTTCATTCTTCATCTCATGAAAATTATGACTGTAAGACCTAAAATCAGCAAAAGATTACTGAATTATGCTTACCCACTTCAAATTAGAAAGGAGCACTAATTAACCAAATTAAGCTATTTTACCTATCTTGATTTTTTTTTTTAATTTAATTATTCAAAACTAATCAAACAAGGAAAAACAATGAAGCTGGACCACCAATAAATAATATCAAACACCTATGGAACAGCAGCAGCAAGACATTCTTCAAGCTGAATTACAAGGTCAAGCATTCTGTCATCTCATCACACTTCTAAGAATTCCTTTCAAATTCCTTTCTCAGAGTCAAACTGCAGAACTATTGTCTAAATCACAATCTTTCAAATATTAAAAATTTCACAATCGGCTATAGTTCTTCAATACAAATGGGCCTTACCAAGAAAACATTTCTTGGTGCAATAAGGATACTAAAAAGCTTTCTAAATCAGTGAGTTTCAGCAAAGCACAGTGTCTTCTTCAACATTCCTTAAAAATGGTATCCAAACTCAAGCATCCGAGGCTACCACAGTTTCTGTCCCCTCCTACGCCTTCCCAAACCATATCCACTGCTCTTTCTTTGAGTGATACTAATTTCACCCTCATTTGACCTGCATTTTTACAGACGACTGAAATGTATTTACTAGTATATATACTACTATATTTACTAGTAACATCAAATAAAAATTGTACAGTGTTCCCCCCAAAAGCAAGTTGTTTACTCTGATCTCACCAACATTTGAATTTCTGCATATAAACAAAATCTAGCTGAACAAAACTGAAAATGCTCCATGTAGATAAAATTCTACGCTGTTCATGCATGCCCTAGCCACAAGCCTCATTCTCAAAAAAAAAAAAAAAAAATAGAATTCTCCATTACTACCCAGTCAGGTTCTTCAGTCTCTCCCTATTATATTGGTATTCAGTCTCCTGTTCAGGACTGAAAAGTTTTTTTTCCAAGGACTTAAGAATTACTGGGTGAGATTAAAGGATTTATGACACATTGGAAATCATACTATATGACATGGTAGTCATTCTGACTGCAAATCATCCTTATGCATCTGTGAAACCTTTAACAGGTGGGAGTAAAGAAAAATAATTGGTCCTTTTGAAATAAACTACAGACATTCAGGAACTTCTCAAAACGGCAAAAAAATTTAAGTTACTGAAGTCTTTTCTATTTTGTAGTTACATCTAATTGCATATTGAGATGGCAATGCATGTGATACCTTGTCGAATTCTGTTAATATTTGTAAAAGTTGATACTGGAATAACATCACAGTCACAATAAATTGGCAGAGAACACCAGTCATAAATATCTCTATCAGAAATTCCAAAATTTATGACTTTTGCAAGCATTTCTTTTTTAGAAAAAAACCCTCAAATTCGCTTTTTATTCTTAATGCTTTGAATGACAGGAGCTTTTGATAAATCTATTTAAACAGTTATGTACAATACTCTGTCTTAAATTTCTATTCCTTCACCACAAGAATCAAATACTCTCTTTCCATAATGAAATGCTGCTTGTTCAAAAGCAGCCAGTAAAATCTTTGTCTAAGTCCTCTTGCCTTCTGTCCAACCTCCCTGATGCAGGTGACTGATGATATCAAAGTAAGCTATCCATTTAACATCTGCCAGTGAGGACAATGTGCAAGTAGCTCAAAGTACCTGCAACTAGTTTGTGCTATTACCAGTAGCAGATTATTCCATTAATCTGCTTCAAGCAAAAGTCTGTCACGCATCTCTGAGGCCTCAAGCAAGCTAAAAATGGTTACTAATGAATAATCACATATCCTGATTTTGTATTAAGTTATTGAAACGCTAGTGGACAACTTAAATACTGTGCCAATTTACAAGACTCAGACCAGATATGCATCTCATTGCACAGCAGCAGTGTTTTAATACACAAAGCATTTCATATACTTAAAAGATCTACAGGAAAAAATCTAGATACACATAGATAGTAGCACTAAAGACCAAGAGTTGTGAAAGTAAAATGTTTGGTTTGCCACATCAGAAGTGTAGAAACAGCTTGAAAACACTGAAGGTTTGAATCTTCCCTGGCATGCCTCCTCAAATGCTTAGCTGTTCATTGCTAGGTATTGCAACTCACAAACTCAATCAAGGAACAGCTTAAAAGTAACATGATGAAGCAATTTAAGATGTTCAAGATTAAATTTTTTCTTCACCTCAGGGGTTTTATGATAAACTCATTGATCATAGCAGCAGAAATGACACGAATCAGAATAACAAACTTAAAAATTAAGATTTTTGAAGGATAACTATACAGCAAGATCTGTATCTTCATTACTTTCTATGAAAACCCTTATTAAAAGGAATACCTAATTCCAAAAATCTACAAATATTTTGTAGATATGCATAAAGTCAGGTGCTGGTTATTTTAATACACTGAAAAAACATAACTCTTTTAATAAGGTAATGAACTTCTTAAGGGTAAGGCATGGTTTCCTACCTGATCGAAAACACTCAATGATTTGCTGAATACCAGATTTTGATGTTTGCAGAGGCTGCTGCAATAACGGAGGATCACCAGGTTCCAACAGATGCACTGAAATATATGAAAGAGTAATAAGATATTAGAAAACACTCGGGTAATTTTTGTAATTTAAGAATCGCCCACACATACAGTAAACTAGCTAAAAAGAACAGCCAGGACTATTAAAAAGTAGTCTTACTCTAAAATTTTCAGTTATATTGAATTAAAAAACAGTCAACACTGAATTTTCCAGCTATCATACCTTCTGACAGTTGGCTGTCATTTTGATCACTTTTTTTGTCTGTATTCAAAGCTACATGTAAAAAACACAGAAATATTTAAATATCTAAAACCAAATTAACTCACTAGAAATGTCCATCAATTAATTCCCCAGAACAATCCACTTGATTCCCATTGTTAAAACTAAATGACATGGACAAAAGAGTATTACCAAATACTGATCACCAGCATTAGCAAATACTTCACAGCACACTACCTGACTTCAATGTCACCAGTATGCACCTAAACACCGAAGCCAAATTTAATAGCAATGATCAGAAAAAAAGCACAGGCAAAGCTACATAGCATATACCAAAAATCCTTTTGTGTAACCACAAAAGCTACATTCAGGAAACTGTTCAGACTCAAATAAACTGCTGAGGGAATACTTTATTTCTGATGTTTCTTTCCATATATTCTTTGCAAAAGCTATCAAAACTAAAGCATATATTATTCAGAATTTTTATCAATTCAAATATGCAGTATTTACCCACATCAAAATTAATAGCACTCCACTGCTGTATATAGATATGGCAATTAAGCTTTGCCCAGAGGGAACCCAAATTTACAGGAATAAGAATACTTCTTGAAGCATGTGCTTGCAAAACCTTTAGTTAGGTCTTCTTTTATATTTCTTATTGACTAAACAGCCAGCCTTGCACTTCATAAACTGGCTCCCACCTTAACCGTTTGGTTTGATTTTAATCCCATTGTAAGGTTTTCATTTCTAAATGTAGCACTGAGAGCTCTAATAAATTTATTTTTAATAAAGGCCACTTGAGGCATAGTATAAAACTATTTAGAGATAATAAGTGCAAAAAGACTAAACAAATTTTGACAGGAATGTTGAGCTAAAAGGTTATAAATTCTAGCTGAAAAAAACATCAAAAGACAAAGCATTGTAGAAAAGGACAACAGAATGAACATTCCACCCGACTATCCAGGTCCCATAATATACCATTATAAATACAAACACATAACAACCATGACAAATCAGCTAATCATTTGGGGATCTCTAACACAATGGCATATTGTATTCTACTAGCCTAATCCCTACACTTCCAAATAAAACATTTTGGCTTGTATACAGTCTCTAATACGCATGTACAACACCAACTGACATCAACAGGAGTAACACAGGTGAAGCAGACCTAACACATCACTGTTAATTTGTCAGGCAAGAAAAATATTTTTGTTTTTTTAAAGCATAAGAACAACTCAAAACCATTTCATCGTCAACATAAAGCAATGTTTCTACTAACTGAACAATATCTATTCTCAAATTACATTTCACTCAAAGTCACTGTGCTCACATTTTCGTCTGTTAATTCCCCAAACTGATGCCTTTCTTCTCAAAACAGAAGTGAAAGCATCCAAATAAACTCCACAAAAAGGCCAAAAGAAATAATATAGCATTTAAAAATACTAATTATAACAATAAGCAGAATAATTTCAAATGTATCTAACAGGTTGGCTAAATCTTCAGAATATTCGTAACAGTTTCCACTGATGACATCTTTCACATCATTCAGGCATGGAATGTAAAGAGTTGTTCTAGGATTTGGTGGGGTTTTTCTCCTCTGAGACTAAGATTTTCAATTTCACCACAGTTCACCAGAGAAGACACAGTAAAAATACAAACAACAAATGCAAATTATTGCAAGAAACACCATTTTACCAAAAAAAAAAAAAAAAAAAAAAAAAAAAACGAAAAAAAACAAACAAACAAAAAAAAACCCAAACCAAACTTTAAACACTGCACTTTTTGGAAACAAAATGATCAGTTGCTTTATACAAGTTCTTGCCTTCCTCTGCTCACTGCACACAATGCCCATGAGGTGGCCTGAGGATTATCCCACATGCTGGAACTAAAATAGTCTCTTCCTGAAATGATTTTAAGGTGACAGTTCAAGGATACCAAAAAAAAAAACATTTCCAAACAAAATTCAGAAACTTTTTATACCTAGAGCTGACACTAATGATACACATTTGCAATCCGCTCAACAGTTTCTGCAAGCTTTTAATGAAGGAGACATGCAAAAGAGCCGAAGCATCACACACCACTATACCTGGGTCACAGCATCCATGGTGATGGTGGTCAGTCTGACAACACTTGTCCCTTAGAGGCATTTTCCGTGCGCACGACTACTTCCCTTCTACATCCAGCAGCTCGGTTCTGCCAAAGTAAGCAAATTGGCAATCACCGCCCAAGCACCAGCGGCTCAGGAGCGCGCCAGCCCCGCGCACCCACTTGCACGGCAGCACGGCGGGGCAGGCCGGTGGCAGCGGTGCCCCGGCGCAGGAGAAAGTTCCCATTGTTTTCCGCAGGTCTCAGGCGCCCTCTGCAAGGGCCGCGGGGAGCCCGGCACGGCCCCGCTCCCGCCCCGCCGCCGCCTGCGCCCCGGCCGGCGGGAGAGCCCCAGGCCGCCGCCCTGCCCACCGAGCGCGGCCCGGCCGCACCGCCCCGTGCCCCCTCCGTGGCGGCGCCGCCGCGTTCCGTCCGTACCTCTCAGCCTCGTCCCGCAGCCCCGCCGATGGGACGGCGTTCCTGGGTCCCGCGGGGGAAGCCGCGCTCCCGGCAGCCCGGGGCTGCAGCTCCCGCGCCGGGCCGGGCGCTCCGCGGCGCCGCCGAGCCGGAGCCGGAGCCGGAGCGGGGCGCGCCCGCCACGCGCGGCCGGGCGGGAGGCGCGCGCGGCCGCAGGTGACAGCGGGCGCCGACGCCGGGACGGGGCGGGCGCGACGGGCGGGCACCGCGGGCCGGCCCTACCTGGAGAGGACGGGCGGCCTCCCCCTCCCTGAATTAAACTTTATTCGCCCCTGTCCCGCCAGAGCGGCGGCCGCTGACCCCGGAGCCGGATGGGCACGGGGGCAGGAAGTGACTGCGGTCCTGGCGGCGAGCGCCCGCCCAGTACGCAGGCGCCGCGCCCGCCGCTCCCCGGCCGGGCCGCACAGGTGCCGGGCGGCGGCCGCGGGCGGGCCGGGGCGGCGCGGCCCGCGGGGCCCTGGCGGGACACGGAAGCGGCCCCGGGCGCGCTGAGGCGCGGCGCCTGCCACGGGACCGACCCGCCGGGCAGAGCCGCGGCGGGAACCGGCGCCGTCTTTGTCCCGGCGGGGAGAAAGGCCCGCGCTGACCGCCGCGCACGCCCGCGATGCGCAGCGCTGCCCTCGGGCACCGGTGCCCGGACGCACATGGGAGCAGCCAGCATCCTTGGAGCTGGCATTTCTGCCAGCTGGCACTTCTGCCCTTTCAGCCTGGTCTGCGCCATTACAGTGTAAAAAAAATATGAACCAAACCAGCAGTTGTTCTAGTAGACCTTCCAAGGGAAAGGATAGATTTATGTTCTGAACACTTGGAGGGAAAGCTCGTGTTCTGAAAGGGAATTGTGTGATGTGTATGCTAAATGCCGGCCACAGGACGTTGGTGCAGTGGAGTGAGTGGCAGGGCAGCCCGTGTCTCCAGACACGTTTCCACAGGGTCCTGTTTAGTCCTGTGCTGTCTTTGTGCCCTTCTGTAGGCACCTCGGATTGTTGAATAGGTGATACTTGGTTTTTGCCAAAGGAAACGGTACGATTAAGTCTTCATACACTTAAGGAACAACTTCTGCCATTGAAGAAAAATCTGTAAGGTAATGTGAGGAATAAGCACATCATCACAGGAAAAAAAGCTTAGTGATGGTACTAACACAAAAACAATCTGCGAAGCTTTGGCTTGTAATAGCGTCTCTTAATGGAGACAGGATTGATGGTTTGAGACAAAGTTCCAAGTCACTTTACAGTCTGTGTGACAGTAACATGTCTCACACTTTCTCAAATGAGACATGGAGAGACCTTACCATCTGTGGCCATCAATTAGTACCCAATAATGTCTTCTTTTAAAGTATAGACATTGGTTTAATTAACAAGTCTTTTTTTTTTCCCAAGCAAAATGAGACCAAATTCAAGCTCCATCAGTTGCATTTGTATTTTGGTTAATAAACTGGAAACCTCTTTAGTGTCAGAGAACAGTTCCAACAGCTGAGTGCCAAATAGCATCTTAACCCTGAAGTGCAGCAAAAGTCCATTGTCCTTTGTGTCAGACAACCAACCACGGGTCGTTGTGTATTCTCATCTTGAGTTTAGCTACATCCTGAGCTCGACTCTATGTGTTTTAGACACACATCTTTGCCAGCCATGCAGCTGTGTTCAACCATGTAGAGAGCACTTGGATAGAACTCATGGGCAACAAAGTGCAATGAGCACAGCTGTGTGCCGTAGTTCTGCACAACAGCCTGCTGACTGGTGTACTTGTCCAAGAAGTAGTGAACTGGGAGAATTAATATTCCCCACCTCCCAGGAGATGTGGGAATCACGGTCAATGATTTTACATTCTCACTGATAACATTACGCTACGAATACTAAAATAGTAGGGTTAGATCAGGAAACTTTGCATCTGGGACATTTACTAGGAACACCGGTAGCCTTGTCACCAATGTAATTTTACTCAGTGATAAAAAAGTAAGAAAGGAAAAATCAACTGGCAAATCATAAACCAGCAGTGTAAATTTAGAATCTTTTGACTATATTTGGGTTTCTGTGTTTAGCCACTCTCAACAAAACTTTTTTCCTCCTTCTAATCCAATGAAAGTTTCTCTTTTTGCAAGCTATGGCCTACATTTTGCTTGCATGGCAAGATTTTGGTATTGAGTGGCTTGCCTGAGAAGCTTCTGGAAGCTTCCCTCATGCTAATGCCAGCCAGCTCCAAGATGGACCCACCGCTGGTCAAGGCTGAGTTAGTCATTGGCGGTAGTAAAGCCTCTGTGATAACATATTTAAGAAAAAAAGTTACTGCACGGAAGTAACTGTAGCCAGAGAAGGGAGGAGCGAGAATAGGTGAGTGAAACTGCCCTGCAGGCAGCAAAGTCAGTGATGGAAGATGGGGAGGGAGGAGGTGCTCCAGGCACTGGGGCTGAGATTCCCCTTCACCCGTGGTGCAGGCCATGGGGAGGCAGCTGTGCCCCTGCAGCCCATGGAGGACCACAGGGGAGCAGAGATCCCTGGAGAACCCTACACCAGAGCAGGTGGATGTCCAAAGGAGGCTGTGACCCTGTGAGAAGCTCATCCTGGAGCAGGTTCTTGGCAGGACCCGTGGCCTATGGAGAAAGGAGCCCACCGTAGAGCAGGTTTGCTGGCAGGACTTGTGATCACATGGGGACCCATGCTGGAACAGTTTGTTCCTGGAGGATTTCCCCTCTGTTGAAAAAAAAGACCCAGGCTGAAGCAATTCCTGAAAAGTTGCAGCCTGTGGGTAGGACTCCTCTCCCTGAGAAGGAAGCAGCAGCAGAAATAATGTAATTAACTGACCATAACAGTAACCACCTGTCCCTGTGCACCACTGCTGGGGAGGAGGTAAAGATTTGGGAATAAAATGAATCCCTGGAAAGAGGGTGAAGTGGGGAAAATGTGTTTTTAAAATTCATTTTACTTCTCATTATCCTATTCTGATTTTGATTGTGTTCAATTGATTTCTCCAAGCTGGGTCTGTTTTGTCCATGACAGTGGAAGATCTCTCCCCATCCTTTTCTCAGCTCATGAGGTTTCATTATTTTTTCCCTCCCCTGTCCAGCTGAGGGAAGGGATAGAACAGCTTTGGAGGGCGGCTGGCATCCAGACAATACCATGACCATTCTTTCTTGTCCTTTTCTTATGCACCTCCAGAAAAGGGAAAAGTTCCTCCTTCTTCATAAGCTCTGTTCAGTGAAGCATTGGGATTATGTCGTCTCAAAATGAAGGTAAATTCCTTTAGCCTCTCCCTCTGTCACATGCTCCCACCCCTGGAACCACGTTGGTTACCTTCTTCTGGATACTTTTAATCTTCTAAGTATTCCTTGCATACTTAGAAACCCAAGCTCGACACAGTGTTGCAGATGTGGTTTCACAAATGGCAAGTAGAGAATAATGCTCTCCCTTCACCCGCTGTGATGTTGATGTGGCACAGTGTAGTGGTTAGGCTTAATTACCAAAAGTTGCACTGTTGATCCTCATTTCACTTTTTAACTGGGACACACAGGTCCTTTTTGTGGACCTGCTGTCTCATTAGTCAGTCCTCAGCCTATACCAGTGCTAGGCTTTTTTGCCCTAGGTGCAAGGCTTTGCCCTGTCAGGATGTTCTCCAGCTTGTTGAAGGCAGAGCAATCCTGCCTTCCAGTATGTCAGACAGTCCCTGGTTTCAGCCCCTTTTTTCATTATAAAAGACCATGACATGGGTTATACAAAATGTGCCTTTCTGTCTTCCCCCTCTCCAATTTTAGAAATTCCAACTAACATCAAGTTGCTGTATTTTTTGGGAGGTGGAAGTGCATATTTTTGGAAGAGGGCCAAACAGAAACAGCAACTGGAATCTTATTCTATCTTAAACACATTTTCATAATTTTTGTGTTCCATAACTTTGTGTGAACTTTTTGTTTATAACTTAAGGAAGACCTTAAATGGTCACTATTGCATGAATGTGTAAATCTTAGTAATTTAGCTGACCTTGTAACCTCTTTGTGGGTGGAAGACCCTAATCTGTATATTGCTGTTTAACTTCTTATAGAGTTTACAATGTAACTAATTTGTAACATGGACAACCAACCACACCCAAATTTTGACCAGTAAGTCAGTCATGCACAAAGTGTCTCTGGGACTGATGAAAGCTGCCAGCACAGATCAGGTAGTTCCACCTGATCTGGTAGAAAGTGCCTTCAGGAGTGAATTAATGCTGCGACGCTGCCTGAACAGAGTTCACTTTTGCAGAGGTGAAGGCAAAGTTGGATTAACCCTGAAGGATCTCACATGTAGTATGTGCTAATCAAGAAAAGTGCAAAATGGAGTCCTTTCAGCCAGTAGCCAGCCATTGAATAAGAGAAATTTGGATCAGGGTAGCAAAGATTCCAATACAGCTCACTTCACAATACAGTGCTGCAGTTGTTCATCCAAGAAGTTAAACTGGAACTTAAATCCAGTTTGAGTGTCGTTGTGTGTAAAAAGAACAAGCATATGATGTTGCCTGACTTTGAAAAATAGAATATTCCTCTGTAAAATATGAACAGTAATTAAAATTTATAATAACTTTCTTTTTGTCTTACATTGATAAGATTCAATGAAAATGAAAACGATTTTTAGAACAATATATAATTCTTCATACAATCCATAATTAGCTTGTGTCCAGGGAACATGGCAATTCACAGTGAAACCAGATACGATGTAAAATGTACAGGATGCATTTGCATATAACAAATGTAAGGATTAAAATATTTTTGATGCACTTTATTTAAATTCTAGGCATAAAATATATGAATAGGGGAGGGGGGTTTGAGTTTAGCTTTCATTCTCTGGCCAGTGTTCTCAACATAACCATCAGGTTTTGAAGCAGAGTCTTTATTTATTCATTATCTTCTAGATGATGTGGAGCTGGTGAGAAGTTTTGAACTAAGTCTTGTGTTATTTTTTATTGTTTCTGGATTGTGAATATGGCTTTGAAAAAAATCAAAATTCAGAACAATTTCTCTTAGTTACAGGAGTGTGCTTTCAAATATATGAAGTATTCTAGCAAGGGAGGTATATTTTTGGTAGAGGATATTTTAGTGTTATCTCAAACAGTTGTGATAGTAGGTTTAGTATCCACTGAGAGGTTTTGTCTTGCCCAAAGGCTGGCAGTAACACCTGCTGAGATGCCTTGCCATCTGTTTATACAGCTAAGAGCTGTAGGATTTGATTACTAAACTTTTCCTCATATGCTATGACCACTAACATTTTTTCTGTATTTGGGATGCATTTTGGATGAAGCACCTGGCTTCACAGTAATTTTTCCTAGAAGAAAATAATTGTAAATTGGAGTGAATTAATGCTGTGATGCTGCCTGAACAGAGTTCATTTTTGCAGAGGTGAAGGCAAAGTTGCATTAACCCTGAAGGATCTCACATGTAGTATGTGCTAATCAAGAAATATCACAAATCATAGTCATAAAGCGTTTCACTGCGAATACAGATATTCCAGCATTCCTTAATATATCACTCTTCATCTATTTACTCATTTGATGTGGCTTTATGTAATGTCCTTGCTGAAAGCATCTCATGAAAACTGTATATTCAGAAACTCCATATTAAACAAATTAATTATTAAAAATTATAACAAATTAAACATAGAAGCCTGAAAGAAATTCAGACTCCTTCAAGGACAGAGCCACCCTGCAGAGAAACCTCAATGAATCAGAAAGATGGATAATCACCAACTGTATGAAGTTTAACAAACACAAGTGCCAGAATCTGCATCTGAGGCAGGGATATTCTGTTTGAGTGTATGGGCTGGGGAACAGGAGGCTGGAGAGCAGCACCACAGAAAGGGATTTGGGATCCTGGTCAATGCAGGTTGGATGAGCCAGCAGTGCCCTGGCAGCCAGGAGGACCAGTCCTGTCCTGGGGTGCATCAGGCACAGCATCACAGCCAGGCAAGGGAGGGGATTGTCCTGCTCTGCTCTGAGCTGGGACAGCCTCACCTCCTGTGATGGGGGCAGATTTGGCCACCACATTTAAAAAAATATGCTGAGTTATGAGAGAGCATCCAAAGCGGGGCCAGAATGATGTTGAAGGTTCTGAGAAGGAAGCCAGATGAGGAACTGCTGAGATCTCTTGGTCTGTTCACCCTGGAGGAGGCTGAGGGTAGTCCTCATGGTGGTCTTCAGCAACCTCACAAAGGGAAGTGGAGGGACAGACACTGATCTCTTTACTCTCGTAGTAGTGAACAGGACTTGAGAGAATGGCATGAAGCTGAGTTGGAGGAGATTTTGGTTGGATATCAGGAAAGTTTTTCACAAAGAGGATGGTCAGGCACTGGAACAGGCTCTCTCAGGAAGTGGTCACAACACCAAGACTGACAGAGTTCAGGAAGTGTTTGGCCAACACTCTCATGCAGATGGTGTAATTCTTAGGGTGTCCTACGCAGGGACAGGATTTAGACTTAATCGACCTGAAGGGTCCCTTCCAACTCAACATATTCTATGATTTGAGCACATTAAGACCCCTTTGTTAGAGTCTCTGACCATGATGGCCAAATGGGTAGAACATTTGCCAAGGAAGTAGAATACCTTGATTTCAAAATCCTAAACTACAAGTTAGAGACCACTTTTAAGCACAAGGCCCAGTTAAATCAGGAATTCAAGAGCTGGGGGACTGTAGAGAAAATTAAAAAGGTCAGCCTGATTCCACTGAGAGTGAACTTAACTTGAGGAAGGGCAAAAACAATCTTGCATTCTGGTTGCAATTCCCAATGTTGTTTATTTATTTCTATCCAAAGATGTATTAATGGGAAATGAATAAACTAGTCTTTAGAGCACAGATATGTTAACTTTCATATAAAGGTGAGATCACTCAGACACTTCTGTGTTGCTTTTTCCTGTATCAGTCACCTCAAAAAAGTACATGATAAGTTTTCTTTGTACTACAAATGAAATTATATGAGCTGGTTATCATGATATGATTTTATAATCACATGCAAGTTGCTTACAGAATTTAAACTGTGCATTCTTATGTGCCTCAATTTTTGGTGAAATCTTAAAACTAAATTCAGTTATATTTGCATCAAGTCCACATTTGCATAATTGCAATGTTTACACTATTCTTATGCATAGCCTTGACAGTATCTTACAGAAAATCCCTGGGCTAGAATAATTCTGAATCTTAGTCAATGTGTATTCCAATCTAACAAGAAGCTGCATCTTCGTGCTCTGTTCCCCAATTAACATAAAGCTTCATTACCCTTTTGGGATAAAAAAAACCTGCTATGTGTATTGTCTTAGCCATAATTAATTTATTTACAAAGTTATTAAAACTCATAATTAATTAGACTTCTCATGAGGTCTAATTCCCTTCTGGGCTTTCTGGTGCATGACTATAAAGTTTAGCAAGGGGAACAATTTGCATTGCATCTCTCCCCTGGAGGTCCTTGTCATCATTTGATCGTGGATTCAACCAATTCTGTTGTTTTCCCTTTACACCCTTCAGCTTTGATTCCTGGTTTCACAGTGACACAGCTTCACATAGAGGCAGGAAAAAATTCTGGCCTAAAAGTATTTAGCTTGTGATTACAGCAGCTCTGTAGAAAGAATGAGCTGGTGGTTCAGCCATCAGCAAGGCTGCTTGGGGGCTGGAATCCAGCCCACCCATTTCAGTGCTGCACCTTCTGACAGTGGGTTCTGGCAGGAGAGTTACAGAGCATGCAGAGCTAATCCTCTGTTTGAGAAAAGATCTGTGCAGCTGGAAACAACTGAGGTGGCAAGGAGTGACCATTGTAATGCCCCAGGAAGACATTCATCTGACATCATCAGACCAGTGCAGTCAGTAACCAAGTCCTACAAGAGACAGGGAAGAAAAGGTCTAACTGAATCGATTATATAGTTTGGGTGTTTTATGTAGGATTTGGACACTTGTGCTGTTGGGAACTCAACTTCAGCTAGCCAAGAAGTTCAAGTATTATTCTTTCCTCCTCACAGATCACTAACAAGTACTGAATGACTTGCCTCTTTAAAATCATTGTTTACCTTTACTTAAGAAAAGCATTATTCAGTGTAAATATTCTCACCTTTTTGTTTACCTGCCTGGCTAGGTAAAAAAAAAAAGAAAGTATGCTTCCCATAGGACAGGTAGTTTACTTAACAAATTAATTAATCTAGTAAAATATATTAGGAAAAATGAATGACTTGTTTACAGTATTATATAATGAATTTGCATCTTCTTACCACATTCAGTTTTCTTCCAGTCCAGTGATTTTTTTCCTGTACACTCTTCCTGCAGAGTGAACATAAAGTTAATTTAATTCATATTCTTATCCCTGATTAATCTGATTAATACAAAACACATACAGATATGCAACAAAATGAGCTTCATGCTTTCAGAAATCATTGAATTGAGGCATATATATTCTAAGGCTTTGTGATATGTGCTAGGAAATGGAGGATAATGCATTTGGATAAGCAAATTTAGGCCAAATGCAGACCTGGTCTAGCATGCTGATTCACAAGGTGATCATGTTCTCTACTAAATAATGTATTTAAAACCTATCCCTAATTATGCATTTAGTGAAGTTTAAAATAAAGTGTTTCCAGCTCTCTCTTTCTTATGTAGGAGGTGGCAAATGATCTAGACTGTTGAAGACAGAAGAGAGGGGCGTAAAGAGAAGGTGTAAGAATTTCTAAGTCTTTCAGAGGAAAATATAATGGAGCATGTTCCTAAACTTATCTCAAAATGTGCTGGTGAGGGGAAAGTCCTGCAGAAAAATGGACAAAGACTTCTGTTTCTCTGTATGTACATATGGTGTATGTCCACAAACAGTTGTGTGGATATAGCATGGGGAGGGATGGGAAGCAGTAGAGTGAGAGAGGTGAGAAATATATCTGGAAGGAGGCTTAGACAAGGAAAGGGAGAATGAGATTCATGAGAAGAGGGGAGAAAGAAGGCACAGAAAAGATTAATAAACCAAGGATGCAGTAAGGCTCAGTAGCTTAAAAGTAATGCAGGCAAAACTGAGAGCAAGAAGCAGAGCAGAAAAGAGGAGGAGGAAGTAGGAAGTCAAGAAAGAAAGAACAAGCAGTAGAATTCATTAGGCTGGTTTTCCTGGGGTTCTATGATTTGCAATGAGATTATCATTTGCTGACCGTTTTCTTAGGTTTTGTATTAAAAGCAAGGAAGTATAAACATAAATATCTAGGTCCTGGGTCTAATCAGAGCAAAAGTGCTTAGAAAATCCAGAAATACGAACATTTCTATTCAAAAGGAAGCAACTATTTTTGGAAGTTCTTTTATATATGTATCTGTACCTAAATCAAGTCCTATATTGCAGGGTAATAGGAACCTTTCAAATTTTGAGATATTATGATTCCAGCAGCAAACTTGCAAGACATTACTCAACATCAAGGAACATATGAAATATTTCAAGATGTCTGAGGACAAGCCATGAAAACAAAACAAAACAACAACCAACCAACCAAACAACCCAAAGAAAAAGCAAGCTGAATTCCAGAAATAATATTATCAAAAGTACCAAGAACAAGTATTTGTAGAAATGCAATGTACAATTAACCCAATCAACATAAGATTACTGTTTCGTATAAAGAAGGACTTCAGATGATAAATCATTAAATGAGCTGAAAGAAAAATGAAAGTTTCATGGCCTAAAGAAAACTGATGATAGGCAGCTAATGATCTAGTCTACTTTGTCTAAAGCAGAGAAAATCTAGGGAAATGAATTGTGGTGCTGCTCTGCCCTAAGTGGGAGACTGATTCGGTTTCTACACTCTGCCTGGCTCTACTCAGTTTGTGGGAATGTTGTGACACTGAGACCTTGAGCACTGTCAAAATCAGTTGAAATTTTCAAGAAGGTTCCAAAGCTTATTGCAAGATTTTGACTGATAGAATGTGCAATAGAGTAAATTTGCTTCCTTAGGAAGGGAGGCAAAACCTGTAGAATAGCAAAAAGAGATAGGTAGCCTGTTGATTGCCAGTACATTAAAGCTAAATGCAGTTTACATTTGCACTGCAAATTAGATTTGCTTCTTGGATGGCAGAACATGACATGCCTAATTTGGACTGTAAGTCAAAAATAAAGAACACATTCATCAAAATAAAGTTAATGACAGTAACCTAAAGGTACAAATGGGAAGTCCAATGAACAACACAATTAACTAAAGGTATAAATTGGGAGATACAAAGCACAACACAATTCTGGGTAAAAGAAAATGTGCAGTAAATGTGACAGACAAGCTTGTGACACAAGGCTGCTCGTATTTCAGTGCTCAAAATTCACAAATGCATAAGAAAAATATGCACTAAAAGATCAGGAATCAGAAGATTAATAAGTGATTCCATAAATAGTATTCAGCATATTATTCAGTATATTCCAATTAATACTATTGAGCAATAAAAGAGAGCCGTGTAAATATATTTCAGCAATCTCCATACCAGTTGAATATGGATGGCAATGACAAATAGTCCCAAGGAATCAAACCTCAAACAGAGAATCAATCCCTGTAATGAGCAGGACTGATCTGCTCTGACACTGACCTACTGAGTTTCTCTTCCACATTTTGACAGTACTTGAGTGAATGCAATTTTTGCTAATGAAACTGAACTGAACTGAGGCTGGCACAGAATGTTTTGTCAGTCATGACTCTCGTTAAGACTTCTTATCCCACAACTTCTACTAATCATATTTTTTAATGTGTTAAAGAAAAAGTTGGTGAGCAGATCATAATTTTTCGTTCATCAGCTTGGCAAGCTTTTCTGTTATTTTCTGCAAACTAACTTAGTATGTGATATTTAATTGGCCATTCAAAAGATATTTTCCAAGCAGCATGCCAACTACCTCTCAGATGAATTAATTCTGTCATTTATTTTGCTTGTAACACGCCTCCTTGAACTACTGGAGAGTTAGTAACCATATAGTATTGAACAGTGTAGATATTAGAGAATGGTTCTGAAAACCATATGAATTTGGTCTTATAACTAGTCTGGTAAACATTTTTGTCTTAACAGTTTTTACCATTCCATAGACTATGTAGCATAGATTTCATCATAGACAGCTAGTGAGTTCAGTGTGTTATGTGGAAAGGAATAAGCTACAGCCCATAGAGGACTGTGGTAGCCCTGGGCTATTGCACAGCAAAAGAATAGTTGTTAATTAATTATTGATGTTAACTCATTCTGTATTATAAGATATAGGCATTGGAAGAGGGTAAACTCACTATTTATATTTTTAAAAAGAAAAGGACAAGAGAAAAATTTAACAAGCCTGACAGTTTACTTTTGGTCCCCCCAGATAAGGAAGCAAGTATTGAAAGACACAGTTTTTAAGCATTTAGAAGATAAAGATGTACCAAAGATGTAAAAGTCAACTTATACCTGCTGATTACTAATATTAACAGGTCACCTAATTTCCTTCCTATTGAGTAATAGGCCTCAAGAAACAGAGAAGTGGAATCTAAGGAAGGCTTTTGGTGTTTTAAGAGTTTTAAGACTCTGTCCTGGTTGATTACCATTAAATATGTTTATTCATAACTAGGTGTGTTTGTTCAATTCATAGATAATTTCAAGTTGAAGGATCTGCAAGCATACAAAAGGCCAGCATGAGAATTGAAACTTATTTTGATTAATTCAAAGACCAGTCCACAAAAAGAACCACAGAATCACAGGATGGGTCATGTTTGAAGGGACCACATCTGGTCCAACCTCCCTGGTCAAGCAGCTCATCCCAGATCAGCACAGGATTGTGTCCAGACAGTTGTTGAATATATTCAGTGAGGGAGACTCACAACCTCTCTGGGCACCCTGTTCCAGTGGTGACAGTGGTCAATCACCACACACTAGATAAGTTGTTCCTCATGTTTCTGTGCATCTGTTTCTGCTCGTTGCCCGTTTTATTGCTTGGCACCACTGGGAAGAACCTGGCTCCGTCCTCTTTTCACTAGGCATATTTCAAGTTTGGAAATATGAAATTCTGCTCTCAGGTAAGAATCGACACAGTGTGGGTGGCATGCAGGCATTAGTAATTAAAAATAATGTTGAGGAATTCAGTAAGGATGCTACAGAGTATATGTGTACATGAACCTCTGTGAATTATATTTCCGAAAAGAAGTATGATATTAGTGCTGCAGTCCATCATGTTACCAGACTGGTAACAATTACCACAAACTCATGAAGAAATTAGTGAGATCAAAAATTATAATAATGACAGTCTTCAATTTTCTGCTGTCATGCTGTTAAGATTTCCAGCAATCAGGAGTGAATAGCCCATCTCGAGATTGTAAAGGCTGTGGAAAAAATGAGACAAGACTTCTCCAGCAGTAACATACTAATTTTTAGAAGAAAAGAAAAATTTGAAAGAAGTTTAAAACATTTACTTTGGATTGGAGACTATAAAAACATCATGCTATATGCCAAATATCAATAAATATCTTCTAATAGGAAGACACTGAAAGAATTAAAAGCATTTAAAACCAAAATAACATTGCTGTGATTCAACTACAAAAAATACTAAAATACAGAAATAACTTTTTAAAAAATTGAGTAATGTCCAAAAGAGAGGAAAAAATAGGATGAAGAATCCCTATGAGGTATAATCACAGAAAAGTCCAAAACTACAATTTTGAAGACCTAAACAAATGTTCACAGCCATCTTAACCACATTGAAAAGAATCAGCTGACCAGACCATTAGTGCAACAGCAAGCAGCACTCAACAAACATAAACAATATCAGAAAATCCTAAACTAATTCTTTGCATCAGTTTTCACTGAAGAGAAGGTCACATCAATTCTTAGCACCCCTCTTTATGGGTGATTAATTGGAGGAACTGTCTCAATTTAAATATTAATGAAAATGTGTTTAGAACTAACTACTTACAACCACCCTAAGTAACAAGGATGAGATGGTTATCAACCCAGAGTTGTAAAGAAATTCAGACATTAGAGGAGGAGTGGTATGGATATATATATATAACCTGCGGTTTAAATCAACTTCTCAGTGCCAATGGTCCGGACAATTAAAACCAGCACCAAGAGAAATTCTGGATACTGTTACCTCATAAATCTGATTTATCTTTTCCATCAGTTTTCTATTTAATTAAATATTATACAACTAGATACATAGATAAATGCAACATACTGACAGACAACCAGCAGAACTCTGTTTGCGAGTCATGTTTTACCATCTGTTAGAGATTACTGAAGGAAATACCTGTCATCTGTTTAATATTTTTTTCATAGATATTCTAATCCAAGGTACCTAAATAATTTACA